TGAAAGTTGCGTAAATAACTTAATTAGTTAATAGGGAGCACTGCAATTAGTTTAGCACTATATAAGGGGCCTGATTCTGATCTCACTTAAATTGGTTGTAATGGATACAATTCCACTGACTTCAGTGAAGTTATTCCTGATTTACACTAGTATATGTGTAAGATCAGAATCACACCAGAATTGTTTCAATGGAGAAACAGGAGTCTTCTGGTTGCGTCTAAAACTTGGTCCTTCCACATTATTATCCCAAAGTCTGCCACTTCTCCAAAGCATTTTTTTTCATTTATTGTGGAGAGAGGAAATGTATTCTTTAATCAGTTAAAGGTCTACAGTTTCTTAGACCAGAAAACCATGATTTTTTTTTAAATTTGTGTATTATTTCTGCAGTAGGAAGAGGTGCACATGCTTTCAAGTGTATGTTAGCTCTGATTTTTTTTTAAAATGTGCCATGCAGGGTTGGGATGGGGAGAACATGCTTTCAGCTTGCATAAGGCAGTAAGTCCTGTATTCAGAGGAAAATAAGACTATTCCTGGTGAGATTTTAGTACTTCAACCTGTTCCTGTGTGATAGGCCAGCATTTCTTTGTATACATGTTCAGTTTTCCCTTCCCTGAACAGAATACACAGCATTTGCCCTGCAACACAGTGTATTCTGAGCCTGCAGTGTCAGCCTAGAATGAAGAAAAAGGGAAATGTTGCTCAGTACGAATGCACACCCAAGATGGAGAACATTCTTTCTGACACTCCCAGCACTGAGCTACCCAGGAAGTGAGTTTTGGGTTCCCCCTATGGAAATGTTTATCTCTACCACTCAAGTCATTAGGCCATCCCAAAAATCATATATTGTGTATGTGCAGTGGGTCACACTTACAAAAGCTCATTGCATTTGGAAAGATTTTACTGGTTTGATAGTGATTCTTATGTTTAAAATGGGGAATTCTGTTGGAACCATTAGTATCTTTAAAACTAGAATAAACTGTAAGTTTGACCTGTGTGTGTATGTCTATTCTTCTTTTTCTGCAGCTATTCATTTATGCAGGCTTCACAGCATTCACTGTAACCAGAAACTTTGCTGATGCTTCCAAACAAGGAATTGAATTATCCAATTCACTGAATTTATTGAATGATGATGTTTATCTTGGACATCTAAAAGACATTGTGAACCGTTGTCATATTTTATTTTTTCCTCTCCCTTCCAGTTACACCATTTTTTTCCGACATTTTGCGTTTTGATACGTAAAGGTTCTTTCAATGTTTAGAACTTATGAACTTGAGGCCAGATCTGTAAAGGTATTTTAGGCATCTAAAGATGTAGACAGACACCTAATGGGATTTTTCACAGCACCTAGGTACCTAACTCTTATTGAAATCAATGGAAGTTAGGCAATGAGATGCTTTCAAAAATCCCACTAGGTGCCTATCTACTTCTTTAGGCACCTAAAAACCTTTACAAATCTGGCCCTGTGTGCCTTTGAAAAATTGTTTACAGTATCAACAAAGTTTGATCAAACCAATTCAGAAGATAAACCTTAAATTATAAGGGTTTTCAAAGCGTTTGTTCACTGTAAGGGGTCTCTTTAATGTATCTATGTAACTCTCATTAATGTAACTGGAATTACCTGTGCACTTTTAAAAGAGTATCCACTGGATACTGATGATTTAGGATTTGACTATCAGTCAAACAATATTAATCATCTCTTTCCAAAAAAGAAAGCTTAAAATATTATGTTGACGAAATTGTGTTCTTGTTCAGCCTGGGTGAAGCATCTGATTTAAGTATTAATAGGCTCTTTGTGAATGAACAAAGATGCCATCAATACATTTATATTAAAATTAAATGCACTCCACGATTTCTGATGAAGTTATTGTGTGAAAGGTAGAAAAAATGTGGACTAGTGCTTTCCAACAAATAATTTGCCGGCTAAGCACTTTTCTCAGTTTAACTATTTGTGATTATGAGGGATTTTTATTGCAAAATGAAAATACAGTGTATTCATGGGCCACTCAAATATTTGCTTGTGTTTAGAATGTGAGTACTTCCACAATTCTGCTAGCTTCTTAAACCTTGGCATGGAGATACTTTGGCTTCTGGAAGAGAAGGAAGGGAGATTTCTGGTTTCCAGGTGGTTAACATCAGTCATGCATACAATATGTGGGTTGGATTAGTATAGTCTCTAGAAAATGAGCTATGCTTAACAAATCTCTTAAATATTACTCCAGTTATTGTTTTAGCGTTTCTGTCATCAAGCCCTTCCCTGTTGTCAATTACATTGCATTGAAAATGTGGGTGCACTCCTTAATTTGTTATCTTCTTATAAGACAAGTACTGGCATCCATAAGAATGAAATGAGGGAGGATTGACTAGTAGTTTGAGAAGGGGTCCTGGAGGCAGAACACCTGAAATCTAGTCCAAGATCTTTTATTGGCTCATTGTATTGCTTTGGCAAGTGCCTTAGGGCTAGAGCTGGTATGGATTTTTTTTAATAAACTGAAACCTTTTGCAGAAATCTATCAGTTTTAATGAAACTTTCATTAGGAAAGGTTCCTCAGGTCCAGGATGGAATCTCTGGTCCAGGATAGAGAGAGGAAGAGGCCTAGGCCAGGCAATTGTCAAGTGATTATGGCACTCACGAGGGAGAGCCAGCCGCAAGTCCCTGCTCTTCCTCATTTAGACCAGGGAGTTGTACATGGCTTCCCACAGCTCAGGTGAGTGCCCTACCACCCAGCTGTTAGCGATTCTGAGCTGGGCTGGTCTGAGTCTCTTCTGTTGGAGGTGTGCCACTTTGAATAATTACATATTCACCAAGAAAGAGGGATTGATTTAGAACCTGGTGGTTAGCGCAATCAGCTGGGGTGTAGGAGACACAGGGACTTGAATCTAGGTCTCTGACATCTCACATGAGTACCCTAACCATGAGTCTATATAGTCAGTCTTTCCTTCTGGCACAGTAAATATTGAATTATTTACACAAAATGGAATCTCTCCAACAGGAGAGATTGACTGACTCTTTAGAGCAGTGGGAAACTCACCTTGGGTGTGAGAGAGCCAGGTTCAAGTCCTTGTAAGGCCTGGTTCATTATAGAAGTTTTAAAAAAATAAGTTAATAATAGGTATATCGTCTGGGATAGATTGAATTAACTACAACTCCTTTTATTTGCCAAGATAATTTTCTATGTAGGGATCATTATACGTTTTGTTGTTTTTGTCTTCATTAAAAACAACAACAACAACAACATGAGGTCTTCAATTCCAGATAATTGGAATTCACTGTTGCCATATCATTACTCTTCCAAATCACATAGCACATCTGCAAAATTAAATTTCAGTTGCATGGATTTTTAGACATTCTGATCCAAGAATGTTCCGTAAACCCCACAATCATTACCAGGACACTTTCCATCATAGAAACTGAAAAAGCCTCAATGAGGATATAGTACAAGAAGCCACATAGTACTCTAAAGGACATGTGTGCTGTGTTCCTATTGACTGTATTTTGAAATCCTATATTGTGATTGGGTACATAAAGGCAAAATTTTCCAAGTTCAAAAACTTAATTGTTATCTAGAATTTTAGAGGTAAAAAGTTTTGTCATCTAATACTTTAGATGGAAATCACATTACATACTATACAACAGCATCACTATCATACAATCACTGCAAAGTTCTGGAAAATGTAAATATTTATCAAATTCTGAAATCAGCTAAAACAATCAAATGCCCTCAGGTATTAATTTTCAAACTTCTACAATAATGAAGTGGTCAGACATATATTAAATGGCAGAAAAATCATGAAGACTTTTTTTTTCTATTGTGAAAACCATAGCTATACTAGCTATATGAACATTTCTGATCCCATACTTCTGCCATTTGTCAAAAATTCAAACCAACAGCTCTCCAACTAAAAAATTAGACTGGGAATCAAAATAAACTCTTATAATGGAACATCAGTTGCAACTAGTGCCCCACCGTTACAGTAGCAGATGTCTGCTATTCACTTGGTCTAGATAATTTCTTGTTTCATATTGGTTTTACTAATTCTCTGTTTCCTGTCTGTGAAACCTATTGGTTGAAGTAACTCACCAGGCTATATCTCTGCTTTTCATACAATCTCAGTGAGTGATGTGGTTATAATGAGTTTTTTCTATATAGTGGTTTTTTTAGTCTCTTTCCTCACTGTGAGCCTAATGGGCACATTCAGACTCATTATCAAAAGCAGTCCCACCAGCTGAATGGCAGTAAACTCATGAGCTTGTTTGCCAGGCTTCTCTGAATGTATAAGCCTGTTGCTGTAGCTCTAAAAATGACATGGCTAATGTGGTGGTAATTTTCTGCATTGAAGGAGTACGTACTGGAGTTATGTACTACAGGTATTTTAGTGAACACTGAAAAAGACGATACTGGTACAGAAAACACTCAAACATTTCAGCTAGCAGATGATTTCCCTTCCATCATTATTTTCTGTAGAATTATATCTGTGGGAGGCCAGTCTGTATTACTATGTTTTACTGTATAGCAGGGAACTATCTGTTCTTACGCTGTTCAATGCATCCTTGTTCTAACAAACATCTGTATTCCCTGCATTTGTTTGTTATATCCAGTGGGAGAAAAACACATGGGACACAAAGAGCATATATGTCTGCCAAGGTTAAGACTGAATTGAAAATCTAGTGTATCAATTAGTGATTACTCAGAATCTTGCCTAGTTAAGTCTGTTTGTTGTTTCTGTATGCTCCCTGTAATTTTATATTGCTGTCGGGGGGAACATACACTTTTTGTTTATTGGTCACTGACTATTATATGGTAGGAAATCCCTTACGGATCCTTCTTTCAAAATGATAAATTACAGCATTGAAAGTTTCTCTTTAAAATGAAAAATATACTAAAATTTTACTGTACCATTATGTCAATAGTCCAGGGATCAGAAAACCTCCTCTTATACATGTTAAAATAGATCTGACTTGATAAATGCTCACTTTCTAAAATATTTTGTTTTCGGTCAGTGTTCGTCAGGTTCAACTCCAGCCATGGTTTCCCAGTGGAGGTTGATTCAGACACCAGCATCTTCCAGCTCAAGGAGGTGGTTGCTAAGCGACAGGGAGTTCCAGCTGACCAATTGCATGTGATTTTTGCAGGGAAGGAGCTTAGGAATGACTTGACACTGCAGGTAAGTCTCCCTTGGTAGTTTTGTTTTTGGGATGCTGCCAGCTCAACTGCTTCTGTCTCTAATGCTGCCAGTCTGACATTCATGACTGAGATCTAATAGAATAAATAGTGCCTGGGGATTCCTTGAACTTTACTCCACACTGCTTCATTAATTCTGACCTTCTTAATTATGCATTAAAACAGCAAGCAGGAAGGATAGGGAGAGAGAAAGAATATAAGAGAGAGAGAGCAAAAGAGAGCTGTGCTTAGTGAATAAATGTTTACTGACTACAGGCGCAAGCTATGCACAATTTCTGTATCTGCTCAATTTTTACCTTACTTATTCCATTTGAATCTTAATGAAGCTGAATGAATGTGAATAAATTGTTCCAAATCAGGCTGCTCAGTCATCATGTTGTGCAGAATTTGTAACCCAATTGTGACCCCTGGAGGATAGTTGTAAGGCTGCTGCTGTCTGCGTGTGCACGCTGATGGAGGTAGTATTTGAAGGCCTGTTCATAGTTTCCAATGAGGTTTCCCCAAAAAGCACTGAAATCACAAACCTGTAGTTTGAAAGACTAGTGGGGAGAAGAAAGATTTATAAGTGGTTGAGTTTGTATTTGAATTTCATTTCCTCCTGATTAACTATTCTGATGAAAATAAAATGCAGAATGAATGGAGAGGGGAAAAAAGAGCATAGCAGGACAAGTAACAAGACTCTTTTCCTAACCATCTCTACCACTGTTACCAGTACTGCCACTCTCATTTTATCAGCATCTCTTTCTTCCTATGAGTGATATTTGTGGAGATGGCAGCATTTGCTGGGGGAAGCATAAGAACATAGGTTTAAGACATTTGAGAAATCTGGAAATAATATCTGTATCGGCCCCCCAATACAAAACTAGAGATTGCTGAGTTGTTACAAGTATTATCCTGGCAGTGACATCAAAGAACAATGAGGCGCATTCTGTAGCGGTTCAGGTGACTACATAAACTATCCCCCATAGGCACAACCCTTTCTATTTTAACGAGCACAGATTAATTGGCACTTGTGTTTTCAGCTGTGTGGGGGACATAGCTGTGCACAGAATGGCTGCTGTATCTGGTTGCAGAGAATCACTACAATATTGACATCCTATCACTACATCTTCATGGGCATGATATTTATTGCTTTGCCAAATGCTTTAGGGAGTTTGGGCACACAAAAGAAACTATAGAATGCAAATTGCTGTTGTCATTCTCCAGTGCATCTCCTGCTGATAGTGTTGATGCACATAGTCATCATGCATAAACTGCTGTGCTTTGCTTGTAGGTGATTTGTTTTTACTAAAGAAAATATATGGGGCCAAAAATGTTTTTAAGGTGAATTGAAAAGCCAGTTCCTACGTTTAGGGTTCTGTGTTATACTTTCAGAAGCTTCTAAACCATCCTGCACATGCTGAAGTGCTTGAGATTATAGTGGTGTTGTCAGATTGTTTCAGGACAAAACACAGAATCTGTTACTGGGGTCTAACTTTACTCAGAGAATCTGTAACCCACATTTTTGCGGGGTAAAACACGAAACCTAAAACTTAGATGAATAAAGGAAGAATTGATTTTCAGATATTCAGACCTGTCAACTCAGATTTATTTACAATGAGATGCCTTCAGTCGGATTCATTTTAAGGCAGTTTTAAAGTTACTTACAATAAGCACAGACACACCAAGGGGAGATGTGCAATCACTTCACTTCAAGAGAATCACAGTGAGGTGTCTCAGGAAGGTAGAATGGCTCCTGAAGTTCCTGGGAATGCACAGGCTGAACATCCAATACCACACCCCAGCAATTTGCTGTCAGTGCACAGGGGTGAGGGGGAACCATGGCCCCATTCCTTTCAGTTTTTCCACATCTGTTATGGATGGTATGGATTACCCCCTGCATGCCCCTGAGCACAGGTATTGAAATTTGACCTGACCCTTACATGGGCCATGCAAGGGTTAAGGTGGGAGCTCTATCCCTGCCTCCCCACATGAATCTATTTAAGGGCAAGGCAGACTGGCCATAAGGACTGGGTTTTGGAATGTGTTTCAAGATGACATTTGAGGTGCTGGTCATAGTTAAGGGGTAAATGTATTGCTCAGTAAAGCTGGACCAAAACTCTTTGGCAAGGCCTCTGGCTTCTGTAGCAGATGGGAAGTTCAACAACAGTTTCAGGTACATTCCAACTTCTAGTATTTAGTGAATTCTAATGGTTAATACATCAGCATGGTAGCAACTGTGTTATTTATTTTGATACCGAATTACATTTAGTTTATTCTGTCCCTGCATTTTCAGTCCATACTGTGTCACAGAGAGAGAGAAAGAGATATTGTAGACATTTTCAGGGCTGAAACTAGAGGTTTTGGTAGCTGGGAAGGAACCAATTGGCAGTTCATAGTCATAGAGTTTGAGGCCAAAAGGGACTGCTAGATCTTCTAGTCTGACCTGAACATCACAGGCCACCAACACCACCCAGCACCCACACACTAAACCCAACAATTGAAATGACACCAAAATATTATGAGACTAGACTATTATGTGTCATAGGCAGAGAATAAGAGGGACTGATGTAAACCAGTGCCCAAGGACTGCACAATGGTGGGGAAATCATTAAGTGTGATGTATGCAAATAATCCCAGCAAGTGACCTGCACCCACATTCTATGGAGGAAGGCAAATTCCCCCCCCCACCCACCACCACCACCATCACCAAGGTTTTGGCAACAGAAGGCAGGCAGTTTAGGATATTTGGCGTACCCAGCTGGATGCTTCTACTACATGCTAGTGGTATATTTACTGTTGACATATATGCTAGTGGTATATTTACTGTTAAGATAGATATATATATGCAGCGTATACACTGTCATCTCAATTTCAGAGTTAACATTCTATTGAGATTAATGGGTCAATTCATGTGTCTCTTAGAGTTATTATTTCAGGCAGACTCATGAAAACAATGTAACATTGGTTTATACTCAGCTGAAGATTTTAAGGATGGTGTGTTTGTTTTGCAACCATAAGGAGTAGAAACTTTTTTTTTAAATGAGAGCTTAGATTCTGCGGAAAGAGTTGAGTATATCAAGGAATCATGCAACACACAGGAGCTCTGCTCACAGCCTTGAAAGAAGGACAACAGAGATGAGTCCAAACCAAAAGGGAGTTTGATCTGAGTGGGAGTTCATTGCTGAGTGCCAAACTGAGGCAACAACTAATGGGGGTAGGTGTTAATAAAGAAAACTTTCTAAAAGGTACCTTAACAGTGAATGGAAGTCTGCCAAGATGTGGTGATAGAGTGCTCTGATCCTATCAGGTTCTAACTAAGGAACAAACATTTCAGATAGGAAAGGATGCAAGGTGGCTGATGTGGAACATGAACAATTGTCCACTTTATGAATGAAGACCATGAAGGCTGTATATGTATGAAGTACACTCCTTTTCTTTTCTGAAGAGGGAGAAGGAGGAGCTGGAATGGTAGCTGAGGTGTGTTAGAGAGAAATGAAGCCACTGAATGGAGACAGAAGGAAAATTATCATAAGGAGGGAAATGGCAGATTGAGACACTGTGTGGAAGATTGAGGAATGTGACATTAAAAAAAAAGAATCCAAGTTGCAGGAAGGGCAGGATAGAAATATGTATGGAGACACTTAATTTCAGTACCTGCTATAGGTATATTGTCCTCAGCAGAAAAGGACTACTAAGCACTCAACCAGTTATTAACAGGCAAGTAGTGAAACTGGAGCCCTGGTAAAAAAAGAAGTAATCGTGATTGGTGACTACAGAGTGAGTCTTAATGGGGCTTAAAAATCTGGGGGTCATATGAAGGAAGTGGGACAGTCAGATGCCTTCTGGCAGCACAGCAAATGATGTCACAATAAGTGACTGATTAGCTTGAAAAATGCTGAAGGAATTCTTACTGATTCTAGTCCCCATGGGAACAAATGACAGCACTGAAAGAGTATTCAGCAAAATCAGGAATTGTTTCAGGGAGCTGATAAAAACACAGAAGATGGGGTGATGTGAGATCCTTTTTATTCTAAGCATGAGAGAAGGAAGGGATAGACTGCTACTGGATGCACCAAAGAAATAGAAAGGATGGTTTTGGGTTCATGGAAGATTGGAAAGCTGTGATGAGAGGTGACTGTTTAGAATTTATTATCTCCATTTCAGCAGATTGGTTAGCAACCCTTCTGGGTTCAAAATATGTAGCATTTATCAAGCGAACATCAAACTAAACTGGAAATGAGAAGGGGAGGGACACTTTTGCCCAATTCAAACTATATGGAATTATTATTTATGTAGTGTCTAGACCCCTTCCCTCAACTGAGATCAGATCCCCATTGTGTAAAGGCCTGTGCATACACATAGAAACAGAAATTCTCCAATCTTACAATCTAAATGGACAAGAGAAACTAATGATGGATTGTGAAACAGGCATAGAAAGGCAAAGTCACTTGCTCAAGGTCATACAGCAGGTCAGTGGCAGAGCTGGGGATAGTCCAGTGTCCTTTCCACTAGACAGTGTTGTCTCTGCTGTTTTAACATACACAATTAAACAAGATGTGGTCAGCCAGAATTTTCATCAAAGTGGACCTTTAGGAGGCTTACAACCTAGTGCACAATGAGGGCAGAAAACAAAGGGAAGATTGCCTTTCAAACCTGCTATGGGCACTTCAAATATTTACTAATGCCATTTGGTCTGACCAGCACTCCTGTAACCTTTCAACACTTCATGAACAATGTATTTAGCAACATCTTGGACCAGTATGTAGTCATCTATCTCGATGGCATACTTGTGTTTTCAGATAATCCTGAGCAGCATTGTTACCATGTTCATTACATCTTGGAAAGACTATATAAATTGTTAAAATGTACTTTTCATCAATCCTCCACAGAATTTTTAGGTAATATCCCTTGCTCTGTGGGCATTAAGACGGATCCCGAGAAGGTGGAGACCATCCACAGCTTGGCAGTGCCCAGGTCCCCCCAGAAGTTACAGTTCTTCCT